TCCGATCATTTTGATTTGATTGATAGCTGACTGCTTGTATATTATCTTAAAAAATTTAAGAATGCTGCATTTTTGGTACAACTTTTACTCAAATATACAAAGTTAAATAGAGCAGTTAAAAAGAGTAATCAATTTTAGAGCTTGCATGGAATCAGTGATCAGTCCAATTCATATTGAAGAACTGGACGATTGTGTTAGGCATACATATATCAATCTCAATCTCAATGTCAATATATTAAATAAATATGTAAGGAACTACGTTGTTTATAAATTATAAACAAGGGTTGGTTTGCATTGAGCTTGTTGCTCATGGTTAATGAATATTGTGCTTTCATTTTCTTCTCATTATTCCTTTCTCTTCAACATGCTTAACAATAATTTTATTATAGAAAAACTACTAAAACATGCAGTTCACAACGTATGTAGTTCACAACGTGCAGAGAAGGGGATCATAAAAAAAACATGAGTGAGTTTGAAGGTCCAGCAACATCTCTAGCATTACCCCTGCCTCTTCCCCTAGCCAGAAAGATCACAGTGAGTGTGGCTGCGACTGGCAATGGAAGCCTCTTCCAGTATCACCTCATGGTGGTCCTCACCTTGATCTGCAGTCATCCTGGCCTCTAGACGCTCCCCTGGAGCCGCGGGCACGACTATAAGCAGATCCACCTCTTTCTATTGGAGCAATGGGGAGAACGTAAGAATAGTACCACCGGCACAACAAAGAATAGTACTGGTGCAGATAAGTCTATACCCATATAAGGTAAATCTGTACCCATATAAGAAAGGTCCATATCCATATAAGATGTAACGTAAAAAACAAGGACCGGTATGGATGAAATAGTATGGGTATGGAGAATATCGGTATGGGTATAGCGAGCTGAAGTATTGGTATAGAGGAAATAGTATGGGTGTAGAGAGCTGAGGATAGGTATAGAGGAATTAGTATGGGTATAGAGAGCTTTATAAGCAAGATTAGTACCCGTATAGAGAAAAAGATCTTCCAAGAATGGATAAGTTTTAGTGTTCCGAAACAATTATAAATGACGGATTAAAACCACCTGAAATACTTTCAAAGAACAAAGGTTTGTAACGAAATAAGTTTTAAAAAGATTCTGGGCAAAGTCGAACACTTCTCCCTTAGAAAATACAAGGAATCAAGGCTTTAGAATTTAATACATTTCATATCAATATCAGTATAACCAAAGTAATATGGGTGTAAGGACTTGAAAGAACTAGGAATCAGAGTTTAATGCGTAAGAGTCTAGTTACCTCTTGATTTCCTTAAATGCCATTAAATTTTTCTACTAAACAAAATTTTCTTTATTTTGTAATCATTAAAATCAGGGTTTAATAAGTGGTACTAGTGTTAGGATACTACCTGATACAATTGATAATTTGAGGCACCTTCGTCATCTTGATGCCTCAAAACATAATCATTGAAAGCTTGCTAGAATCAATCACAAATCTACGAGGGTTGGAACAATTAAGCGAAAAATTGCTTGAAGTTTTCTCTTATGATTATAGATATGAAGAACTCAAGTCTTCGACACCTTGAGTTGGATATAAAAAGGAAAATAAACTCTATGCCAGCACAATTTGGAAGATTGACAATTCTTGAAACTTTATTTGCATTTCTTGTGGCCAAAGAGGAGGGACAGTAAATTGAGGAGCTTAAAGATATGAATTACCTTTTGATCGGGGAGCCATTTGCATCACCAATCTTGAAAATGTTACAAATAATAAAGAAGCTGCTGCAGCCAAAGTTAGATCAGAAAGCATATTTGGACAAGTTATTGTTAGAATGGAAGGTTACATCTCACCAAGCAGCACCAGAAGTCTTGGGAGGTTTGTGGCCCAATAATCTGATCAAGAAGCTAACTATATTAGGTTATAGCGGTGCCACATTCCCAGATTGGCTCCTAAGTCAATCATCTTGCATGCTAGCTACAAAGCATTTACTTACATAACTGCTTCGAATGCACTGCTCTCCCGTTTCTTGGCCAACTTTCAATTCAATTCTCTTCACTTTCATAACATGCCTGATTTGGACACTATAGAATGAAAACTTTGCAGGTTATAGCATGTCTTTTCCTTCTTTACTGTAACTAAAATTCAACAATACGCCAAACCTTCTAGTCTGGGAAGATTTGAAAAATGGTAACATGCCTAAACTTCTCCATCTTCAATTAGAGAATTGTCCAATCTTAAAGTTCCTTCCTTTCCTCCAAAGTCTCCCTTCTCTTTTGAAACTTTGGACATGAGTCGTTGTCTAGAAGTTCAATTCTCGCCAAATGGAGAAGTACCAGAATCCTTGAATTCCTTAATTGTTAGAGAGTGTGACGTCTTACATCGTGATAGGAGCAAAATACTTTCTATATCCCCTATGTTGAAGTTTATGGTCAAATTCTTTAAGGACATCTGCCTTCCAATTGAATGCTATTTTATGTTTGAAGCTATAGCTGCATAGATGAATGGAAGGGGTAGAGCTGCAGGTATGATGATTACAGTTAAACTTGCAAATTAATTAATTGGATACACAATTCTTGAGCCATGGAGTGTTACAACCATTTAGTAACTTGATTTGTAAGAGATAACATTGTTATCGTCTTGATGTAGCTATAGATGGATCCAAGCGAGTCTATTTGCGCCTCTAGAAGTTTTAGTTTGATGGTGAGAGTATCTTAGTTTCTCACCCATCAAGTTTCGAGTTAGATACGGTACTCTGTTGAACCATAAACTGGGGAACCTTAAGTGATTCTATTTGTAATTTGTAGGCTTGAAGCGGATATAGATCATACTGATTGTTGGTGGTGCATTGTTATTTTGCACACTATATCCACAGCATTTTTAATCTTTTGACAGATAGTTTTTCCTTGTGTACATCCGTAGCTGTGGAAGATTGCATTTAAAATTTGAAATTCTGCATTTGAAAATATTGGAGACAATTACTAAAATATTATGATAATTGCATGACAATTATTATTATTATTATTATTATTATTATCTGAAATTTGACAATATCTAAGTTCAATAAATAATTACCTGAAGAAATGTCCACACTCCACACTGAAGTTAGGGATCGGTTACAGTCTCTGTAACAAAGGGGCCGATATTTCCTTTTGAACTTGTTCTAAAAATATGACACAATGTGACTTGGCCCATATTTACTAGATTGTATGTGCAAATCTCAACTATCACTGTGAGTATCTTATTAGTAGGGGGAAAAAAATCTAGAATACAATGACAAAAGCTTATGGCCACTGCAGATACATTTGTTGAAAGAAAAACAAGGTACCCCGTGTACTGAGAAACTAAACATGGATAAACAACACCACAAAAATGCAACCCTTATAGGTGATAAAACACTGCAACTGTAATGACTTTTATTCATAAGATCACCAAAGCTTCCTCAGTATCCCCTCCTGACTTAAAATTGATGATACAATTTCTTGGAAATCATAACCTCTTGGCCACTGAATATACACGGGTAACTCTCTGATGTAATTTATAGTGCCTAGCAACTTCTACCACGTTCAACTTTTTCTCAATTACTTCAGCACAGTACATGGTTCTTCTTCCAAAATTTCCTTGACTGCAAGAACAGGCTTTGAAGATTTGTGGCTTCTAGCAGATGAGACGCATAACCCTTCAACATCAGTATTTTTTGCCCTTGACATTGCCTCATTTGGATTGAATCCTAGCCCTATAACAATCAGCATCAAAGTCAATCACACAGCCCTCTCACAAGACAATTAACTTGAACAAAATGGCATAAAATAAATGGTTTGCTTGATCTAAAAAAAGGAAAGCATGTAATATGCATGTTTTATAGCCTTTTCTAAGTTCAAATCTCTAATGTAATTTTGCTTCTTTCAGTGCTTGATGTACAGTTTTGATAGTTAATGGAATGTCACCTTTCACTCCAAAAAAACAGAGAGGAGGAAAGCATGTAACATGCATGTTTTATTATTGCATGGCAATGGCAAGTTTGGCCGTCTTCATGTGCGTTTGTTTTTTTTGAAGAGGAAATTATTCAAAATAAAAATCTTATAATAATTGATAACTTCATAAAGGATGTGATTCATATGAAGGAAAAGAGAGGGAGATCATGTGAATATTATATCATCATCGAGTAACAGAGAGATGCTTGGGAATAAACTTTTGAAGGTTGGAATGTCACCAAACGAGAAAAGAAGAGCCACCAGCCACGTGGAAGTCCCTGCGTTGCACGTCCAAAGTCGCATCAGTTAAGAGCATACGCTAGCACCGTAGAGGTACTTTGATAATATTTGTTTTGAAAGTAACATTATAAGGATTTTTTTTTTTTTAATATTCTATATACCAAGCATGACATAAAGTAGATACGCAGTGTCACCCTGTCATTTTGACATCTTAAAGAAGTGGGTTCGTTAAAAAGAATTTTTATCTTTACACATATACTATCAAGCAATATAATATATATATATATATTTTTTACTTTTCCTTCTTCATTTCCTCCATATTTGACAATATTAAAGAATAAATTTTTAACATAAATAAATTCAGTAGCTTTAGCTTGTTAATATAAAAATGCCATGTCAGGTATAATAAATTCAAGCACGTGTTCTGCCAAATGACAAAATCCAAATTTGAGACTGGAAATGGCAGCAAAACTTGAGACGAGAAAAAAGCTAAGCCTCATTTAAAGAATATCAAAACATCTTCAATATTTCAGCACTAATAAAAAAAAATTATTCATATACAATTATTTTTTTAACCCCTCCCTTTTCCTTCATTAAAACCCTTTCCCTTCCCTCAGACCAAATGCTTTTAAGGTGAAATTATTTTCACAAATAATTTAAAATATCGGGCTCCTCTAGAATAATTTAAAAACAAAGATGCACCTTAATCTTGTAATTAATTATATAACCACTTCATCCAGACAAGAACATTGTACTAATATTTTTTCACAAAGCTCACTCTGTCTCCGCTCTCCAAGCTCACTGAAGTTACCGAAGGCTCTCGTACATCCCTCTTCTCGTTTGCTTCGCTCTCTGCACCTTTCTCCTTCTCTCACTCTCTGATTTTTCTCGCTAGATTTGTTTCTCTGTAATTGAGTATCTCAAATTCGCGTTGTTCAGGAGGTAGATATGGTGGTCTTCAAGGCTTCGCGAATAGAAACCACGCCTTTCGACGGCCAGAAGCCTGGAACTTCTGGTCTCCGTAAGAAGGTCTGGTTTTTGTCTTTTTCATTTGTTATCTCACGCTTTCTCCTGTGCTGTGTCTTATCCATAATCTCCAACTTCATCTGTTTTCATTGAATGATCATTTGTCTGATCATTTCCGTGATTTGATTTTTGAATTTTCAGCCTTCAATGGATTTGAATCTCTTTTTCTCTGAATTTTCTGTTTTGAGGTTTGAGTTATAGATCCTATCGAGAAACGCTACCTTCTCAATTTGATCTGTATCCGATCATATTGATTTGATTGATAGCTGACTGCTTGTACGATATCTTGAAAAATTTAACTGATATGACTCCTGATAAAGGAAGGATTTAGATTGGAATCTACTATGTGATAAGAATGCTGCATTTTTGCCAAAACTTTTATTCGGATATACAGAGTTAAATAGATCAGTTAAAGAGAGCAATCAATTTTAGTGCTTGCATGGAATCAGTGATCAGTCCAATTTATATTGAACAACTGGATGATTGTGTTAGGCATCCATCTATCAATATCAATATATTAGATAAAATGCATGAAGAACCAAATTATATATAAATTATAAACAACACTAGTTGACTCATTACATGCGATGCACAGAGCCCACATCTAGTGATGTTATAGAAGCATGGCGTCTATTAACATATCACAGGAGGTGTTATCTTATGATAGCCGAAACACTGTCATCTTCTATGGTAATTAACTTGATAACAAATTTCATGGTCTACATGAACTGTTATCTTTATTCTGAAAGAATTTTCCCCTTTTTTAATGCATTTTCTATGCAAACCAACTAAATGGATAAAAAAAATGTGGCAAAGTTGCATTCCTAGTCATGCAGCTTCAATTGTATGTATAATGTATTGGAATCAGTTCTATTGAATATGAAGATCGCATGTGATGGTAAGATTGTAGTTCTATCTATATTTGTTTTGCAGGCTTTTTTTTTTTTTTTTTTATAACTGTAAGATTAGAATGTTTAATCTGTCTGTTCTATGCTATCTGGGCTAACTTCATAATCATGCCTGGGGTCTTTTGCTTATGTGGATGTGCTGTATATTCCTTTTCCAAAGTTACAAATTCAATGTCATGAATTTATGGTGAACAAGATTAATTACTATGATTTGCATTGATTGCTTGGGACTGCAGACAGGATAATTAGAGTTTAACTGAATTTTGTTGTTGCAGAATCACTTTTACATGAGAAGTTGTGTATGTTCTGTTGCTTTTTCCATTTTCTATCTAATATATAGATTGGACGGATCATTTCAGGTGAAGGTATTCATTCAGCCAAATTACCTGCACAATTTTGTCCAGTCAACATTCAATGCTTTGACCTCAGAAAAAGTTAGAGGTTCGTTTTTATCTATTTTATCCTTTTGGGTTTTCTTGGTGAGTATCCTAAATAGGTTTTCAACTTTACAATGTTTCGAAGCTTGGGAATGCTTCTTGACTGGTTGACCCATCTTATGTTAGGCCTGTGTTGAATAGTCCTGCTATTGGAACCATGTGCCAGAATTCACTACAGAAATGAGTTTTCCCCCCTCTTTTCTCTGCTTTTTTTAATGCACCAAAGTGGTTTGAAGAATTAGTTTGTCTATCTAGAAGGAAATTTAGCTCAGTTCACCAAGATTAATATGTTGTATGAATCAAAATGTCATCATGACCTTACATCTGTAATAGTGATTGTCCGTACTTGTCACATCTGGAGGACTGCAACAAATATAGTTTGAAATTTTGATTTTATGTGCTTCCTCTTTTCTGTTTAGCTGGGCTTCCTTTACATGGCAATGGATATTTTGTTTAAATGGACTGCATTATTGGCACAGTGCTTGTGATCAGGATTAATGCTCTACCTTGTAAAGAAATAAAGAAGAGAATTTTAATTTCTTTTTCTTATTGTTGATATAGATTTGTGGAATTACATATATTTCATTTTAAAGACTGTTTTTCTTTTCACTTGTCTCCTTTTCATGGAGTATGCTGCATGTGGTGGACTATAATAAACTATAACCATTATGTATACAGGTGCTACACTTGTTGTGTCAGGGGATGGTCGCTATTTTTCAAAGGAAGCAATTCAGGTACGTTTCAACAGCTGACTTTTTTCTGAATGTACTCAACCTCCATGAACTGGGTGGGATTAACTTCTTGGTGGCTACAGTATTTTGATTTATCAATAAGGAAGCTAATACCTAACACATCAATGCCATAGCTTGGTACTTGGAAATTCTTTTGTTGGTTTTTTCTTAGTGGCATGGTGGTTTTTTAAATCTCAATTTGTTGCTGACTTTGGCTTAGGATTGGATATGGATAGCATTTTATAGTACTGTGCAGGCTAAGCTGTCAATTACACTATTCCATCCCCTTATCACAGTTTGCACTTAGTTTAAGTTCTTGGTCTTGAAATTTATTGTTTCTTTTAATTTATATTGGGGAAGAAATGAGGTCAAGAAAATGAGGTGATAGAGATACAGAGCCTAATATACTTTATATCACTTCTAGGATTTCAACCTGTGAAAGGCAATACCTTACCTTGGCTTTTCTAGCACCACTAGATTGGAGATTGTTGTTTCCAGGTCTGAACTTCATGTAGGTTATGCAGTGATATTTAATGGTAGGTCAGAAATGGATTTTCTATTCAGGAGAATGTAGTTCTGTCCTGTTTGGATTTTATTCTGAGTATATGGTTCTGCCTCTGCATCATTACTCTTATTGTAATCTAATGGGAAACGGTACATGCCATGGTTCTCTCTATGCATAGAATATATCTTCAGAATGTCAATATCATGAAATACATATTTAAAGGTTTTATTTAATTTGCAGATTATTACCAAAATGGCAGCAGCAAATGGAGTAAGACGTGTTTGGATTGGTCAAAACGGATTGCTTTCAACTCCTGCTGTATCTGCTGTTATACGTGAAAGAGTGGGGGTTGATGTGAGTTATTGTTCTGCAATTTGCTGTGATTATCCTTCAAACTGTCAAATCATTGCTTTTATTGTCAACGGTACAAATGATCTTTCTTTTGGGTCAATGGAAACGATGGATCTGATTCTATTTTTACACCAGGGATCCAGAGCAACAGGTGCATTTATACTGACTGCAAGTCATAATCCTGGTGGACCTCATGAGGTGGGTACTCCCATATTTACTTTTAGTCAATTATGAAGCTGTGAAGTTTTTATTACTGATTATGATGATATCTGGTTTGGTGGTCCAGTGTGGGGAGCTTTCTTATCAGTGTAGTGGTTGTTCGATCTCTTAATTTTCATTTTTAGGTTGCAACCTATTGATTTCAGGAATCATTTGTGTTGCTATGAATATGTATAGGACAATAGGATATTTTAAATGATCCTTCAGGGGCTAATTTATATTTGTCTTAATTTTTTGTCCACTAGATCCTGTTACTATTGGTTGGATAGTGTTTTCTTTCAGATGAGTTAATCATTAACGTTTGATGAAATTACATGGTAAAAGTTTCATAACATGATAAATGATAAAACTAACACCTATTACTCACACGTTAAAGTTCTACTTTGACTTTTCAAAGTGGAAAATGGATGTACTTGCTGAGATGATTCAGAACAAAGGGACTACTCTGAAAATTGATGAAGAACATATTCACAAATTGAGTTTGATTCAGAACATCTAAATGTTTTATTCTGCTTGTCTCTGTTTTTTTTTTTCCTGAATGAACTGCCATTCTTGTCCTTGACAGATATTGTTGCCATGATTAATTCTTGGAAATTTTTAAAAATACATTTGTTCAGCATGACGTAGGGCTAAATTGATGACAATAAATTTATTGGTCAAGGCTAAATTGATGGCAGTAAATTTTGTATTAAATTAATGTCATTGAAATCTTTCAAGGACCTATTATCCAATATTATAGTTTAGCTTTCAATTTTTGTTTGTATTTATTTATCTTTCTGCACTTTCCATTTAAAGCTTAGGGGAAATAAAAATAATGTTCTTCAAATTAAGTAAAAATAAAATAATGTTTTGAGATCATGCACAAGAAACATTGTTATATGACTATTCCTAATTCTCCTGGTCTGCATCTCTCTTCTTTGTGAATTCTTTTCATTGAAGAAAAGAGATAATCTGTAACTTTAAAGTTGACAACAAAACTCCTATGGCTCCCTCCCTCCTCCCTCTTTTTCTGCCAGAAATGTCCCACAGTGCCACTTAGGCCTGGGTCTTTCTAGGTATGCAATTATATGGCAGGCAATGAGTACATAAAAAGTATAGTTATAAGTTCGAACTGCTTGCAGGTACCAACAATGCAGGAGTGTGAGTCCTATACTGGCTGTGTGTGTGAGACATGGAACTTTCTTTTATAGTGGAGGCTCCTCTGTTTTGTCATATTAGCTTTTAATGATTTGTCTTCATAACATTGTAGTTGCAAGAAAGATTTCCTTGTTAAAGATAACATGAAGTCTGAATGATTGTTGCTGCAATTGCCTGGTTTCCACAATGCAGGATTTTGGGATTAAATATAACATGGAAAATGGCGGACCAGCTCCTGAGGGAATTACTAACCAGATCTATGAGAACACAACAACAATTAAGGAGTACTTCATTGCTGAAGATCTGCCTGATGTAATACTTTCCAGTTTGGCCTGGCTTTAATTATTCCCCTTCTTTTGTCCTCTTTATTTCCCTTTCTGTTTTTTATCAATACTGTTATGTGTTTCCTCTCCCAAAACCTTGTTTCTAATTCACCTTTTGTTTGTTCAGGTGGATATAACCACAATAGGTGTAACAAACTTTACAGGCCCTGAAGGACCATTTGATGTTGATGTTTTTGATTCAGCAAGTGATTATGTAAAGTTGATGAAGTAAGATTTCTTTACTGGATTAACAATATCTGCATTTGGCATTAATAAGGTAGACTTTCATGGCCGTGGTTTTATTATGTACTACAGTATGTCATGTCAAAATGAGGCCTAACCTGGAAAAACTGTTCAATTTAAAAGATAAAATTTCTGGAGAATTAGTTCACATTAATGTTTGATTTTAATGTGGATAAAACTTATACATTTAAGCTTATAGGCTTAAGGTCATTTTTTCCAATCAAATTAGAACAGGTGGATTTTTAATTTAAAAAGAAGTTAAAAAGTGTTAATAACAAGAGCTGATCACATGGTGAGTGATGCATAAAAATGATCTATTGGCCTTGAATTGATTGGTGAATAGTATCTTAAATATATAAGCTAAGTATCTTAGTTTTTTTTTTCCCTTTCAATAAGTCTCTTGCACTTTTCGTTTATGGAATGTCACATTGTTGGAGTCATTAATGGGTCAGTTGTTCTTACAAGTTATTATCTTGATGAGACACTAAGACTTCTAAACCTTACTTGTCTGGTATTTGTTTAGTGGTTCAATCCTTTATCTTTATCTTTCAATTTCCAGGTCAATCTTTGATTTTGAGTCTATTGGGAAACTGTTGTCTTCGCCGAAATTCACATTCTGGTATTTTTTTTTTTTTTTACTATTGTTAGTTTAACCTGTTATTTCAAATGTTGTTTTCTATTCCTCCACCTGAATATCTTGAGCCTTTTCCTACTTTCGTGAAGTTATGATGCACTGCATGGAGTTGCTGGAGCTTATGCAAAGCGCATATTTGTGGAAGAACTTGGGGCACAAGAATGCTCTTTACTTAACTGTACACCAAAGGTTCTTTTTTCTTGCTCCTTTTCCAAGAATCACCTGTAACTCTGGCAATGGTGGTGATGATTTACTTTTTATTAGTGGATGGCTTCCTTGAGTGCAGGAAGACTTTGGCGGAGGGCACCCAGACCCCAATTTGACCTATGCAAAGGAGTTGGTTGCTCGCATGGGATTGAGCAAATCAGTACCTCAAGATGAGCCACCTGAATTTGGTGCAGCTGCTGATGGTGATGCAGATCGTAACATGATACTTGGGAAAAGGTATTAAAGCGCATGGTTAATACAAATTTGAATCTTATCGATCTGTAAGCTTTCAATTTAAACATATATCTTTTTCTTAGGTTTTTGTCACTCCATCTGATTCTGTAGCCATAATTGCTGCAAATGCTGTTGAAGCTATACCCTATTTTTCTAGTGGCTTGAAGGGAGTTGCCAGGTATTTGTCATATTTTGAAGCCAATATTTGTTGGTTCACGTGTGCATGTGCAAGCAAACATGCTTATGCACATTTGTTCATGTCATGTGACAGTGGCAAGCCTAAACTTTTATTTGACGTTTTTCTTGGCGGACCATGATGAACAAACAATTTTTAATGCAGGATGGTAGTTCAGCATGGTTGCATGGAAAGTCATTGCTTCAAATAGAAACATGCAATGATCCCTGTTGTATATAACTTTTGTTTGTTATGTGTTTCGTTCATTTTCATGGACCTTGTGGTCCATCACTCTATTGGCAATTGATTTACAATACTAAGGTGGTATGGATTTCTCAATCCCATGTTGAATGGTATGGGATGCTTTCACTTGACTGCTCATCGAAGTGTTTGTGGTTAGCATAATGTGCACATATATAACTTTGATTGGTTTAATCTTTTGGTACATTTGGTAATCTTTTCTGATTAGAGAACTTTGCTGCGGAGGTAAATTAATGTGAACGGACAAATGTTACGATCTTTTGTGTAGTGGTGATAGAATATGTCAATCTATTTTAAGGGAAAGATATCAAACTTGAGGACTTGCTTACCACAATATTATGCAAAATGAGTCATTAACCACAGGTGCAATTAATTATCTAATGGACAAGACTTCGGTATAGTTCATTAGGTTTCCCTGTCAGCCTCTCCATTGAAAGTTATAACATGTGTACACCATCGCTGTATTAGAGACCCTCAAAAAAGTTTCTGCGCATGCCACAATTCTAATGAAATATCTGATAACACTATTGAGACCCAAGTCTTTCTGTTTTTTGTGTATAAACAAGTCTAATTCTTTAATTAGTTACATTTGAGATTTATGAATTTTTGAAGATAAATAATATCCTCGTCTACCAGTCTCTTGAAACTGTCCTTTGTTTGATATTATTTTCACCTTTGATATTAGCAATTGGCAATTTATACTAATATGTGAAACAATCACCTATGTAAAGTTTAAACTCGTATGTATTTGTAGGAGTATGCCAACCTCTGCTGCCCTGGATGTTGTAGCCAAACATTTGAACCTGAAATTTTTTGAGGTAAGTATACTGCTGAATGTTTGGAAATTAGTATATGCTTACTGGTTGCTTTTAGGCGGCTGTAATTCTTTCATCAAATCCAGGTCCCAACTGGTTGGAAGTTTTTGGTAACTTAATGGATGCTGGATTATGTTCAATTTGTGGTGAAGAAAGCTTTGGAACTGGTGAGCATTTGTTGTTGCATTAGGGACAATGTATCAATACTTTTAGTAATCTCAAACCTAGTTAAGTTATATCTCATGATTATTGTCTACTATGTGTTTGTGAATAGGTTCGGACCATATTCGTGAGAAAGATGGAATATGGGCAGTTCTGGCCTGGTTATCTATTCTTGCATATAAAAATAGGGATAAGCTTGGTGGAGACAAACTTGTGACAGTTGAAGACATAGTTGTTCAGCATTGGGCTACTTATGGGCGTCATTTCTATACTCGATATGACTATGAAGTATGCTATAATTGCACTTTTTACGTCGTATAATCCACCTCAAAAATAGCTTAACCTGATCAAAATTTTGTTTGTTGAAGAACGTGGATGCAGGTGCAGCAAAGGAACTGATGGCATATTTAGTCAAACTGCAGTCATCACTTTCTGAAGTCAATCAGTTAGTGAACTTTTTTACTTCAATATAATTTTTGTTGAGATTGTGTTCAGGTTCTTAATTGTATTTTCCCTTTTATTTAAAAGCTTTTCCCACCCTGTCTTGACATGATATGACATTTCTAAATTATAGGTGTCTGAAAATTTGTGTCTACTTTGTTTGAATGATATATATACTTTCTATGTTGCCTTTGTCCTTCTGAAATTCTGATCTTTATCATAGTTCAAATATGTTTTCAGTGAGCTTGCAGTTTCTTATATGAAATAACTTCGATCTGTCAGAGGTATCAATTTTTTTTGCTGTGTTATTCAAATGGAATGTCTAAGTGAGACGCAGTTAAATGGACGGATGAGTGGGAGTTTAACACACACCACATATATATATATACTTGAAGTTTTCTCTCCCATGTCTGAGGCTTCTTCAATATATTCACCTCCTGTATTACATGACTCACTAATTCCCCTTGCAATCTCTCATTCCCCAATATCCTTATTCTGCATTTTCTGAAAGATTTTTCGGGTTTTGTTTTTTTGGTAAAGGAGAGGGGCGGTTGTTTGGTAACTCTTTTTCCATGCATAAAATCGGAAATATGAATATGTAATCGTTAAATATACCTGACGATGTATTTCATAATCATTGTAGGGTAGAGTCATGCTCTGATGCCTATAACTAAATTTTTATGCTGTCCTTCTAGGATTATCAAGGGAGTAAGATCAGATGTGTCAAATGTCGTCCATGCTGATGAATTTGAATACAAAGATCCTGTGGATGGTTCCATTTCATCACACCAGGGCATCCGTTATTTGTTTGAGGACGGATCACGATTGGTTAGTCTACTTCTGCCATATTTCTTGCTATTAGTTAGAGAAGGAGCTTGTTTAGATTAACTTGAATCAAATCATTCATGAAAAAGTAAGCCCGTGTAATGCATGTTTTCATGTATTATATTATAATCTCATATACTCTTCATTCCAGTTTGCAAGCACTTAATTGGAGAAAGTTAACTTAGGTTAGGGTGGTTGTTTCCTTGGATTCAAATGGTTGGTTGAAATTGGACAAGATGTCTTTGAAGTTAAAACTAGACTGCATGTTTCTTTCAAGGGTCTAATTTTTCTTCGCCTATATGTCCTTTTCCAGATTTTCCGTCTCTCTGGAACTGGTTCAGAAGGAGCGACAATTCGTCTGTACATTGAGCAATACGAGAAGGATCCATCGAAAACCGGGAGACTTTCGCAAGAAGCGCTTGCTCCTCTTGTAAGATGTCTCTAAACCCTGCTATCTAAATGAAAATAAATATGATATCATTGCCAGCCTAGAACTCCTTTTTGACTGAATTCAATTTTACCAATTAATGCAGTGGAGGTTGCATTGAAACTTTCAAAGATGCAAGAATTCACTGGTCGATCTGCTCCAACAGTCATTACATAAATGCAAACGTACACCTTGGTTGATTCATTTGCCCAAAAAACAGAGAGCCTCGGTTGAACCTTATTTTTGAGGCATGTCTTCTCTTGTTTATTTATCCATATCTTTCTGAAATTCAATCCAACAATCTTGTGAACAGCGTACCTGAGTATGGTTAAGTATTTTGCATAAAGGCACACGAGTTGAAAACATTCTACTTAGTTAAATTTGACGTCGTTCCGTATAAGTTGAAGCTTTAGCTGATGCATGTTCTGAATTAGTCGTGTTGCTCAGTATTATATTTTGTTTGATGAAAGTAACGGCCATGTTTAAACTTTGAAGTCATATTTTCAAGCTGTCATGAGCACAAGTCAAAAGAAAAAAAAAAAATCTATCTCAAACGACTATCCAAGGGCTCCACAGCATGGTATTTCAGTTAGAGGTCCTTTCTGTGCATCAACCTTTCAATAAAAACGCTTATGTTATGAGTAAACGTTTAAAAGGAGAGTTCACATTGAAAGATTAGCGTATTAGATGGGTGAGTCGTTCACATTTGTAAATTCTATTCCATTTGTAATCGTTCACATTTGTAAATTCTATTCCATTTGTGAAGCTCTCCAATAGACTCGTGGCATATTCACATGTACATGTCAAATTTAATTTTTCAATCTAAATCTACTTATTCAAACATTATCTAAAGGTATTGAATTAGATTTACTCTTTTTTATGGGAATATGAATTTGAGTTAATTTTGATTTCTGATTGATTAATTTAAACTTTTTTTAAACTAAAATGGTCTATAGAAGCGTCATTTTCAATGAAAACTTCATTTATAATTCAGCGGTTTCAGTTATGAAACTAATAATAAGAAAAAAAAATTGTAAATTTATTTTTAATAATACCAGTAATTAAATAACCAACAAAATGTTTTTTATTTAGAATCATCTATATATAAAATAGGAAGATTAACTTGATTATTATGCATTTACGGTGTATTCTCATTTAATTATGACTTTTTTGGGTATTTTTTATTTTTATACTTTTAAAGGTTTCAAATTTTTCTTACAATCACCGAGCAGGATGAGGTTTGTGAATAAATCTGTGGTTATATCAATAATGAAATGTTCTGAACTTATATTAAAAACACAATTTTTATACTTGCTCTTCTATATTTTAATATATTGATGTCTAATTAACCAAGGATATGCATTTTTTTTATTTTATGTAACTCATCAAACCCTATTAACCAACACTTTTTTTGGGTAAATCTATTAAATAAATTTTGTTAAAGCAATGTAACTGACATCATATGAATAAAGCATGGTATAACTTTTATTCTTGAACTTTTTTCAATTATCAATCTAGTTTCTAAATTTTGATTTTAAACAACCCGAAGTCAAGAAATCAATATATAATAGTGGCGCACCAGGCTCAAGGAAATTCATTGCTATATCTAGTTAGGGTTCATAACCCTAGAGAACATAATACAAAGACGTTATACACAAGGAAACAATACAAAGAATAATCTATAAATAGACACAAGCTTTTACTGAAACTATAACAAGCCTAATAGATGATTGGGCCTATCTCATTTTTGGGCCTTCCTTGTATTGTCTCAACTCTCCCTTTTAAACTTGTGATGGGCAAAGCTACAAGCCCAAGTTTCTCATGAAGGTCTAGAATTTCAAATGAGATAGAGCTTTGGTGAAAAACATTTGCAACTTGCTCAGATGATAGGACACATTTGACTAAGATAGCATGGAAGTACTGTGTCTAAAATAATGACACATCTAGCTCAATATTTTTAGATCTGGCATAAAGCACAGGATTTGAAGCTAATGCTTTTGCACTAAGATTGTCACACCACGCCATTGGAGGAGTTCTCAAATGAAGTCAAAGTTCTTGAATAAAAGCTTGAATCCAGCAAGTTTAGTCACCAAGTTGCCAATGCCTGATACTCAAACTCAACACTGGAGCGAGCAACAACTTGTTATTTTTGGTTTACCATAAAATCAGTGATTCACTAAGAAAAACACAGTATCCACCCTATAGATCTTCTATCATTTAGACAAACCGCCTAATTAGCATCAGAGAAACCTTGTAAAGCCAAGTGAGTACATGGTTTGACATGCAAAGCCAAATCTATCGTTCCTTTCAGATAGCATAGAACTCATTTCAATGCTTGCCAATGAATTTCTATGGATGAACTCATAATTGACCAAGTTTATTTATAGAAACATGATATCAGGTCATGTATTGATTAAATACTACAATGCCCCAATTATCTTCTTGTACATTATTGGATTTTTGAGTGGTTTAGGATTTTTGAGTAGTTTACCTTCATTTTTTAGAGTATTGGTGAGTTACCACCATAGGAGTAGGTACAAGAGCTGAATTTTCCATTCCACTTCTTTTGATTATATATATTTGAAAGATATTTTTCTTGCTTTAGATATAATCCAGTCTCATCTCTGTATGCTTAACGCTTAAGAAATGATATAAGACTCCTAGATCTTTCAAGGCAAAAAGATTGTTCAGTTCTTTAATAAAACATCTCCATATATAAGTAAGTTGCAATTTCCAATAACAATTATGTCATCTACATATACTAGAACAAACATTACCAGTTTTCCTTGTCTCTAGAAAAATAAAGTTATGTTAGCCTTTAAGTGTAGAAAACCCTAGCCTATTAAAGTATAGCTTAATAGTTTGAACCAAACTCTAGGAGCCTGTCTCAGTCAAAATAGAGCCTTACTCAATAGATAGACATGATTAGGATATTTTCCGTTAATAAAACCTTCAGGTTGTCTTATTTAAACAAATCTTTCTTGTAGAAATCCATTCAAGAAGGCATTATTAATGTTTAATTGCCTTATCTGCCACCCAAATGTTACAGCAATGGTTAGAACAAATCTCATAGTAGCAGCCTTCAAAATAGAACTAAATGTTTCTTCAAAATCAATGCTCGGATGTTGTTAAAATCCTTGGCAACCAATCATGCTTTCCTAGCTTTAAGAGATCCATCCACATTAAGTTTAGTTTTGAAACCCCATTTACAATCTACTAGGTTT